ATTTGATTTATTTCGAACGTGTAAAACAATAATACAAAAAATTATAATTAAATACAATTATGATACTCTACAAACGTAAGCAGTATCAAATTGATAAGCCAAATATGATTGACTTACAAATTATATATAAACAAATGATCTACCTGATTACACATCCGAAAAGTTAAAAAACAAGTTTCCGTGTACAAGTATCTGTGTACAAGTATCTGTGTACAAGTATCTGTGTACAAGTATCTGTGTACAATTATCTGTGTACAAGTATCTGTGTACAAGTATCTGTGTACAAGTATCCGTGTACAAGTATCCGTGTACAAGTTTCTGTGTACAAGTATCTGTGTACAAGTATCTGTGTACAAGTATCTGTGTACAAGTATCTGTGTACAAGTTTCTGTGTACAAGTATCTGTGTACAAGTATCTGTGTACAAGTATCCGTGTACAAGTATCCGTGTACAAGTATCCGTGTACAAGTATCCGTGTACAAGTATCTGTGTACAAGTTTCCGTGTACAAGTATCCGTGTACAAGTATCTGTGTACAAGTTTCCGTGTACAAGTTTCCGTGTACAAGTATCCGTGTACAAGTATCTGTGTACAAGTTTCCGTGTACAAGTTTCCGTGTACAAGTATCTGTGTACAAGTATCTGTGTACAAGTATCTGTGTACAAGTATCTGTGTACAAGTTTCCGTGTACAAGTTTCCGTGTACAAGTTTCCGTGTACAAGTTTCCGTGTACAAGTATCCGTGTACAAGTATCTGTGTACAAGTATCCGTGTACAAGTTTCCGTGTACAAGTATCCGTGTACAAGTTTCCGTGTACAAGTTTCCGTGTACAAGTTTCCGTGTACAAGTATCCGTGTACAAGTTTCCGTGTACAAGTTTCCGTGTACAAGTATCCGTGTACAAGTATCCGTGTACAAGTATCCGTGTACAAGTATCCGTGTACAAGTATCTGTGTACAAGTATCTGTGTACAAGTATCTGTGTCCAAGTATCTGTGTACAAGTTTCCGTGTACAAGTATCTGTGTACAAGTATCCGTGTACAAGTATCCGTGTACAAGTATCCGTGTACAAGTATCTGTGTCTCTTAAAGAGGATTATTCTCATTTTCAAGTTGATATTAAACGAGAATGTATGAATCATTTTAGTAATCTTATCAAATACATGTGCAACACTTGCCTCTCAGTTGTAGTGGAATAGAAGTATAAAGCAGCATTAAATGGAAATACTTCAATAAAGTATCTGCACAAATTATACTTAAGTTCAGTACCTTAAGTATATGTACTCAGTTATTATTATTGGATGCTGCTTTATGCATTCTGTGATGTTCTGTTTGTGTTTGATACTCACAGCTAGCTCACAGAGGCCTTTGTTCACTGAGCAGTGCTGTGTGACTGATGCAGGTCAGGCTGTTAGGGTTTACACTGTGAGCCTTGAGTAGTTTTCAGTCCTCTCAGTATGTAGTGTCTCTACTTTAAAGAGTCCTTTCCTGCTGATGTTCAGGTGTATATCAGTATGTAGTGTCTCGACTTTAAAGAGTCCTCTCCTTGCTGATGTTCAGGTGTATATCAGTATGTAGTGTCTCGACTTTAAAGAGTCCTCTCCTGCTGATGTTCAGGTGTATATCAGTATGTAGTGTCTCGACTTTAAAGAGTCCTCTCCTGCTGATGTTCAGGTGTATATCAGTATGTAGTGTCTCGACTTTAAAGAGTCCTCTCCTGCTGATGTTCAGGTGTATATCAGTATGTAGTGTCTCTACTTTAAAGAGTCCTCTCCTGCTGATGTTCAGGTGTATATCGTCTCGACTTTAAAGAGTCCTCTCCTGCTGATGTTCAGGTGTATATCAGTATGTAGTGTCTCTGCTTTAAAGAGTCCTCTCCTGCTGATGTTCAGGTGTATATCAGTATGTAGTGTCTCTACTTTAAAGAGTCCTCTCCTGCTGATGTTCAGGTGTATATCAGTATGTAGTGTCTCTACTTTAAAGAGTCCTCTCCTGCTGATGTTCAGGTGTATATCAGTATGTAGTGTCTCTACTTTAAAGAGTCCTCTCCTGCTGATGTTCAGGTGTATATCAGTATGTAGTGTCTCTACTTTAAAGAGTCCTCTCCTGCTGATGTTCAGGTGTATATCAGTATGTAGTGTCTCTACTTTAAAGAGTCCTCTCCTGCTGATGTTCAGGTGTATATCAGTATGTAGTGTCTCTACTTTAAAGAGTCCTCTCCTGCTGATGTTCAGGTGTATATCAGTATGTAGTGTCTCGACTTTAAAGAGTCCTCTCCTGCTGATGTTCAGGTGTATATCAGTATGTAGTGTCTCTACTTTAAAGAGTCCTCTCCTGCTGATGTTCAGGTGTATATCAGTATGTAGTGTCTCTACTTTAAAGAGTCCTCTCCTGCTGATGTTCAGGTGTATATCAGTATGTAGTGTCTCTACTTTAAAGAGTCCTCTCCTGCTGATGTTCAGGTGTATATCAGTATAGTGTCTCTACTTTAAAGAGTCCTCTCCTGCTGATGTTCAGGTGTATATCAGTATGTAGTGTCTCTACTTTAAAGAGTCCTCTCCTGCTGATGTTCAGGTGTATATCAGTATGTAGTGTCTCTACTTTAAAGAGTCCTCTCTTGCTGATGTTCAGGTGTATATCAGTATGTAGTGTCTCTACTTTAAAGAGTCCTCTCCTGCTGATGTTCAGGTGTATATCAGTATGTAGTGTCTCTACTTTAAAGAGTCCTCTCTTGCTGATGTTCAGGTGTATATCAGTATGTAGTGTCTCTACTTTAAAGAGTCCTCTCCTGCTGATGTTCAGGTGTATATCAGTATGTAGTGTCTCTACTTTAAAGAGTCCTCTCTTGCTGATGTTCAGGTGTATATCAGTATGTAGTGTCTCTACTTTAAAGAGTCCTCTCCTGCTGATGTTCAGGTGTATATCAGTATGTAGTGTCTCTACTTTAAAGAGTCCTCTCCTGCTGATGTTCAGGTGTATATCAGTATGTAGTGTCTCTACTTTAAAGAGTCCTCTATTGTGTCCTGTTGAAAACAAAGCATCTGGTACAGCTTTATAAAGCACATGCAGGCTCAGAAGAAGACACAGTGTGATCATATTGAATATCTGTCCCAATGTTTGACCCGGTTAGTCAAAGCTTGTCTTCACTGGACAGAAGCCTCCCTGTCTGACAGTGGGACTCACACATGCAATATATATATATGTGCCGTTAATAAGGCCTTTATTGTCATATGTACATACAGTAGCTGCAGTGTAGTTATGTCAATGAACATCTTAGGCTCCTCCCACAGAGCAACACAATCAAACAGATAAAATAGTTCAAGTGTAAATACAAATAAAATAGAACAGAAATAGTGCAAGAAGAGTCTATATAGAAGTGATACATAATGTGTAAGTTGCAAACAGATGAATGTTATGGATGTTCAGGTGTTTAACAGTCTTATGGCCGGTTATTATTGTTGTTGTTGTCCTTAACCCGGCCCACGTACTTCATCATGATGAGGGTCCTTTCTTTGTTTATCATTGTTCTTTCAAGATTCAAGGCTTTGACATTCTGAGGTCACAGGCTCCTCCCACAGAGATCAATAACACAATAAAACAGATAATAGTGCAAGTAAATACACTAAATTAGAATATAATAGAAACAGTGCAGAATAGTCTATACAGTAATTGGAATATTGATATATATGAGTTGCAAACAGATGAATGTTATGGATGTTCTTTAAAGAGTTCAGGTGTTTAACAGTCTGATGGAACTGTTACAGGATGTGTATTTTGTAATTTGTGTAATTCTTTAATATTAGTTATGCTCCTTAGTTAACATTGAGCTGTCTTTGGCTCATCTCCCCTCTGTGGGACGAATGAAGGGATTCTGATTCACGGCAGCATGCACGACACTGCGCTTTGTTATCGAGTGCCATCAGTGATGAAGCCTTAAAGGATCATTGAGGCAACTTGACTTTGCTTGTAATTCACCAAACATGCATTTAAAGGGGCTTTTAACCCCCCCCCCCCCCCCCCCCCCCCCCCAACAGTGGGAAAACCCTACAGCAGTGGTTCCCAAACATATAAATAGCTTTTGTCCTACATGAATACAGAAAATAACAATGTTTATTTTCAAATATCACGGATAAAAGTGACCGTTCAGAGGGGAGGGGTCTCTCATAAAAAAAAGACATGATTGGCTTCCTAGATAAGTAGTGATACTCTTTGTTAAAAGACAACAAGAGTGAGTCAAGTTTAAATGCATTTGTATTGAATGTGAGTTATACAAGTGACTTTCCTTTAGGAGCAGCACCAGATAACAAAGGGGTTATATATATATTTTTGTTATATATATATATTTATTTATTCATTTGTAGTTGTTTTGTTTCAACCATTTTACTTTGTAGCACTTTGAGTTTTGATTACTCAAAAGTGCGCTTATGAATAAAATTGGTGATGATGTTTAATACACAACAAAATGTAGGCAAATGATCACAGATTATTCTTTTAGAATGGCGACCAGGTCAAAGGTCACACGAGACGAAACATGTTGGGACCCACTGCTCTAACGGAGTGAAACACATCCCATCGAACCCTGTGGGTTAGGGTTTAACGGGACATGAACACAACGGAGACGACACTTGTGATTGAGTCAGAGAGCATGAAGTGTGTTTGGACGTGTGTTGTGGGTGTGTGTGTGTGTGTGTGTGTGTGTGTGTGTGTGTGTGTGTGTGTGTGTGTGTGTGTGTGTGTGTGTGTGTGTGTGTGTGTGTGTGTGTGTGTGTGTGTGTGTTTGTATTTGTGTGTGTGTGTGTGTGTGTGTGTGTGTGTGTGTGTGTGTGTGTGTGTGTGTGTGTGTGTGTGTGTGTGTGTGTGTGTGTGTGTGTGTGTGTGTGTGTGTGTGTGTGTGTGTGTGTGTGTGTGTGTGTGTGTGTGTGTGTGTGTGTGTGTGTGTGTGTGTGTGTGTGTGTGTGTGTGTGTGTGTGTTTGTGTTTTTCTAAATCTGGGTGTCTCTGCAGGTGCTGAGTCCGACATACAAACAGCGCAATGAGGACTTTAGGAAACTCTTCAAGCAGCTCCCCGACACAGAGAGACTCATCGTTGGTGAGTAGACCTCAAAGTACACACATCCTTTACTCAAGTAGAAGTACAGATACTCGTGTTTAAAAATACTCTGGTGAAAGTAGGAGTACTGACTAAACTTCTTTACTCAAGTAAAAGTAAAGAGGCTTTGAAATGTACTTCAGTAAAAAGTACCCATAACTAGCAGCTGTTTTAAAGAGTACCTGACCTCCCTTTATATTAATAGAACAATAATGTCATTGTTAGCTAATGAATGTTTCCATGCTGAACAACGGCAACATGACAACGTTTTCATTGGTCCCTCTTCTTTAGAGAAGACCAGGAAATGATGGATACACGGATCGTGTTCAAATCAATAGGCACGCAATGACTCTAAATAATAATGATCACGCCACCAAACACACATTCAAACTAAAGGAACCAGCCTGTTTGGGAAATGTGAGAAGTAGAAAGTACAGGTATTTGTGTTCAACATGTAAGAAGTAGAAAGTACAGGTATTTGAGTTCAACATGTAAGAAGTAGAAAGTACAGGTATTTGGGTTCAACATGTAAGAAGTAGAAAGTACAGGTATTTGGGTTCAACATGTAAGAAGTAGAAAGTACAGGTATTTGTGTTCAACATGTAAGAAGTAGAAAGTACAGGTATTTGAGTTCAACATGTAAGAAGTAGAAAGTACAGGTATTTGGGTTCAACATGTAAGAAGTAGAAAGTACAGGTATTTGGGTTCAACATGTAAGAAGTAGAAAGTACAGGTATTTGTGTTCAACATGTAAGAAGTAGAAAGTACAGGTATTTGAGTTCAACATGTGAGAAGTAGAAAGTACAGGTATTTGTGTTCAACATGTAAGAAGTAGAAAGTACAGGTATTTGGGTTCAACATGTAAGAAGTAGAAAGTACAGGTATTTGTGTTCAACATGTAAGAAGTAGAAAGTACAGGTATTTGTGTTCAACATGTAAGAAGTAGAAAGTACAGGTATTTGTGTTCAACATGTAAGAAGTAGAAAGTACAGGTATTTGGGTTCAAAATGTAAGAAGTAGAAAGTACAGGTATTTGTGTTCAACATGTAAGAAGTAGAAAGTACAGGTATTTGGGTTCAAAATGTAAGAAGTAGAAAGTACAGGTATTTGAGTTCAACATGTAAGAAGTAGAAAGTACAGGTATTTGAGTTCAACATGTAAGAAGTAGAAAGTACAGGTATTTGTGTTCAACATGTAAGAAGTAGAAAGTACAGGTATTTGGGTTCAACATGTAAGAAGTAGAAAGTACAGGTATTTGTGTTCAACATGTAAGAAGTAGAAAGTACAGGTATTTGTGTTCAACATGTAAGAAGTAGAAAGTACAGGTATTTGGGTTCAACATGTAAGAAGTAAAAGGAAAAAGTCGTCAGAAAAATAAGTAGTGGAGTAAAGTACTGACACCAGAATAGATGATGATGATGATGATGATGATGATGATGATGATGATGATGATGATGATGATGTGACCTCTCCTCTGCAGATTACTCCTGTGCTCTGCAGCGGGACATCCTCCTGCAGGGCCGACTCTACCTCTCAGAGAACTGGATCTGTTTCTATAGCAACATCTTCCGCTGGGAAACACTGGTACGTTTCTCACACACACACACACACACACACACGCACGCACGCACGCACGCACGCACGCACGCACGCACGCACGCACGCACACACACACACACACACCTGTTCACATCACAGGGTCATATTTTACAACCAGGCTTGGGGAGTAACGGATTACATTTACGAGATGATGTTATATTTAACAAGTTGAACCTAGTATTTTTTTACTTGAACTTAATATTATTGCTTTCAACTAACCTAATACAGTTATGAGAAATCTGTTGACATAATACATTTAACTAAAGTCAACGGTTCAGTTTTTAATTACCCTTTGTTTGTCCTCCTGAGTCCTACATTTTATTCGAATTGAACTAGTATTGCAACTGAATACACTCCTGATCCTGTGTGTGTGTGTGTGTGTGTGTGTGTGTGTGTGTGTGTGTGTGTGTGTGTGTGTGTGTGTGTGTGTGTGTGTGTGTGTGTGTGTGTGTGTGTGTGTGTGTGTGTGTGTGTGTGTGTGTGTGTGTGTGTGTGTGTGTGTGTGTGTGTGTGTGTGTGTGTGTAGCTGACAGTGCGGTTAAAGGACATCTGCTCGATGACGAAAGAGAAGACGGCGCGGCTCATTCCCAACGCCATCCAGGTGTGCACGGACACGGACAAGGTAAACAGGATGCAGACTGCATCAGTTTATAAAAGAGACTATCGGAGCTGAGACTGAACATGTGTTTGAGATATTATAATCTCAGCCTAAAGGATGTCTCACGCTGTCGTATTGTTGACATATTGACCAAATGTGAGATAGATGCTGTCCTCGAAGTATCCACACTACAAAAACTTGAAATATTGCCAAGTATGTCTGCATCATCTCTAGTCAGAATATGTCTTTGCACTTGATGTAAGACCTGATAACTTACGAAGTAACGATGTAGTGAGATATAGGGTCTTGTTCTTAGACGATGCATCTTTTGTATCTTAGGTCAAAGACTCTAGAAAACCTCTTATTTTGAGTTAACATCAGAAAACGTTTGAACATTTCTGGCTTCTTCTGTAACACAGTTCCTGATCCTGGTAAATAGGGTTCAGAGTTTTCCCAGCTGATTACAAGATGTGATATATCTAAATCTTACCGAGCACATTTTCACTTATTATTACACACTTATTGTTTTGGGAGCAGCATCTCTTACAGGGGTTAGTGGTGGTCTAATGGATAGTGAGGTGGGCTGAAGATCGGAAGGTTGTGAGTTCAAATCCCGCCTGGAACACCACCACTAGTATGCCCTTGAGTAAGGCACTTAGCCCTTAGTTACTCCAGGGAGAATGTCCCTGTAATTGTAAGTCGCTTTGGATAAAAGCGTCAGCTAAATGAAATGTAATACATATCGCGGTTTCCTTAAAAACAGACATTTATAACGTGTTCTCTTTAAATGTATTAGTTTGATGGCTTGCTGTTATGCTGCTCGTGTTAAATAATATAATATATAATCTTTTCACACACATTCAATTAAGAAAATCGGCCTTTACAATACTCAAGTGGAAACTGATCTTGTTAAATAAATGTATTGGAGTCATGAAGTAAGATGGAAAGTACAAATACCTCAAATCTTGACTGAAGTACACTTCCTAGGTGTTACTTTCTCTAATAACCCTAGAGGACAAGGTACAAACCAAACGGAGGAAACCGACTTTTCAAACCATGAGATGTCGTTAAGGAACTCAAAACATCAAAAACGATTTAAAAAAATGCAAAATAAGAAAGACTTAAAAACAAGTATTCAATGAATGCCCCCTCATTAGACGGTCCTGGCGTCCTCTAGTCGTTGATGATCACCATTTCTGTTTCCTCAGCACTTTTTCACCTCGTTTGGCGCCAGGGACCGGACGTACATGATGATGTTCAGACTGTGGCAGAACGCGCTGCTGGACAAGGTGAGAACATCTGATCTCTGATAGGTTGAGTTTCTGATAATAGTGTTTCTCTGCATCTGCATCATTTACTCGTGTAACGCTGGTGACATGTTCCTGACACTTTTTAAAAAGTATGATTGTGGAAAACAGTGCACACAAAGAAAAGTAATGAATGAGAACATGTCAAATCTTGAGTACATTTCCTCCGCTCACTCTGAATGGTGGGTGTATTTCTGTGGTGCGATCGGGAAATGTGACACCTTTTATTGTTAGTTCGCTTTAAAAAGAAACTAGAAACCCAACAGATTGTCCAAAGATAATTCTTCAAGCTACAAATAATCCCCTCTTAGCCTTGATGCTTCTAAAAGGACCCAAAAAACATGTGAGCGCTGATCAGAAAAGTCCTCAAAAGTCACTTTGATGTAATGGTAACAAATGGTAGCCTCTGTTATTGCTTCGGGTTAGGTTAGGGTTAGGTTAGGGTTAGGGTTAGGGTTAGCTTAGGGTTAGGGTTAGGTTAGGGTTAGCTTAGGGTTAGGGTTAGCTTAGGGTTAGGGTTAGGTTAGGGTTAGGGTTAGGTTAGGGTTAGGGTTAGCTTAGGGTTAGGTTAGGGTTAGCTTAGGGTTAGGTTAGGTTAGGGTTAGGTTAGGTTAGGGTTAGCTTAGGGTTAGGGTTAGGGTTAGCTTAGGGTTAGGGTTAGGTTAGGGTTAGCTTAGGGTTAGGTTAGGGTTAGCTTAGGGTTAGGTTAGGTTAGGGTTAGGGTTAGGTTAGGGTTAGCTTAGGGTTAGGGTTAGCTTAGGGTTAGCTTAGGGTTAGGTTAGGTTAGGGTTAGGGTTAGGTTAGGGTTAGCTTAGGGTTAGGGTTAGGTTAGGGTTAGGGTTAGCTTAGGGTTAGGTTAGGGTTAGGGTTAGGTTAGGGTTAGGGTTAGGTTAGGGTTAGCTTAGGGTTAGGGTTAGGTTAGGGTTAGGTTAGGGTTAGGTTAGGGTTAGGGTTAGGGTTAGGTTAGGGTTAGCTTAGGGTTAGGTTAGGGTTAGGGTTAGGTTAGGGTTAGGGTTAGCTTAGGGTTAGCTTAGGGTTAGGGTTGTCCCCTCCACTTTTTGAATCACATCCAGGCTCATTGTGTGTAGTACTGTCCTCTCTGCAGGATTTCTATATCTAACCTCCGGTGGTTTGATCTTTCAGCCGCTCTGCCCCAAAGAGCTCTGGCACTTTGTCCATCAGTGCTATGGAAACGAACTGGGACTGACCAGCGACGATGAAGACTACGTTCCCCCCGACGACGACTTCAACACCATGGGGTGAGACTGAGATAGATAGATAGATAGATAGATAGATGGATAGATGGATAGATAGATAGATAGAGAGATAGATAGATGGATGGATGGATAGATGGATAGATAGATAGATAGATAGATAGATAGATAGATAGATAGATAGATGGGTGGGTGGG